ATGGCTTAACATTGCTATCCCCGGAGATGTTGGTCCAGATGGTCTGTAAATGCAATAGGAAGTACCAGAACATCAAAGATTAAGAGATAGTCACGTCGACTCATATTTAGTGGAATTTGATACTCGAAAATTAGTGATTATGCATTGCTACTGTAACTAGTCAGTAAATGGTCTAAAGTCTTCATTTCTTTGTTTGCAGAGCTGTTATCAAAATATTCGGGCGTGACATAAGAGGAACAAACAACTTGTTTTGGTGTTTTTAAGACCAAACTGAAAAATAATTCGTGATTACAAAGTCTAAGCAATCAAAGGCAATGTTGTATTGTTAGTTAAGTACAATAATAATGTTGTATTTTTAGCTGAAGCTTTAGTTTCAGATGAAAATTTCCTGGTTGCTGATTGCATGTATCTGCCCCGGTATAAGAACAATTCTGACTGACTAGTCAATTTCTGCGTTTAAGTCCTGTCTTTAAAAAGATTTTGCCCTCCCTCCCCCTACCCTTCAGCCACCCATTGATTGAAGAGGGGAGGTTGCATGATTAAGATGGTTTCTGGGAGAACAAAAATTCAAACAGGGTCACATAAGGATGGACTTATTCAAGTTTTGTGATAAAAGTGAAGGAGGTTGACAGGATTTTTCTTTGTATTTGGATAATGAACTTTACAAATAAAACAAAAGGAAAACTTGCCACGCCTGTCCTGATGAATGGACACGCTGAGATTTATGCCAAAAATGCTTGCTTAACCAGGACTTTGTTGCAGCAATATATTTTGTTTCAGGATGAGTGAAACTTGAGATGTAGTGAAAGTAGGTTTGAATTGGGTGTCATTAATTTAAGACACTGCTTCAAACTTCATGCCTGCTCAGTCAAGAATAGTATTATACCCACCCTTCCCATTCTTATTTCCTACTGCTTATGCTTGGAATTGCTTAAAAAGATAAAAGGTCTATCTTCAGTCAATGGATACTGGTCTCAATGGATTTTGTTTTGATGGGTTAATTGCATGACTTTCTTGTGGCGGGGTTGGGGGTGGGGGGTGTTGGGATTAGAAACTACTCTACAGGGATTGGGAAGTGGTCCATTTATTCTGCCTTGCTATCTGAGCTCAGGACTCAAGTAGATGCATTTTGTTCAGTGCGATTTGAAAAGGACATGTCCACTGGGTTTAAAAGCTAATAGCGTGTGATGCTTGAGAAATTTTCAAAGGCATCTGAGTAGTCCCAAAAATTAATATCCCACTTCCTCAAGTTGCAACCCAATCATTTCTTAAATGTTTCCACATGACCTGTTTCCCCTAAAAAAATTACATTTGATATGAATTATTTCGCTTTATTTTTCTAGGAACACAAATTCTTGCACTGTTTCATCAAAATAAATCATAAGAGTATCCATAAGTTCAAATGGCAGTGTGATCCAATTATTCAAGTCAATTCTGTATGCATATGGACACTTAAAAACTTCCCTTGTGATTGTTACCGGAAATTCCACCTGCCCCGGTCAGTGCATTGAGTATTTGAGTTGGGTGGTCATGTTGTGGCTGTACAGGACATTGGTTAGGCTCCTTTTGCAATACTGCATGCAATTCTGGTCTCTTTGCTATAGGAAGGATATTGTGAAACTTGAAAGGTTTCAGAAAAGATTTACAAGGATGTTGCCAGGGTTGGAGGCCTTGAGCTATAGGAAGAGGCTGGATAGGCTATTTTCCCTGGAATGTCGGAGGCTGAGGGGTGACTTTATAGAGGTTTATAAAATCATGAGGGACATGGATAGGGTAAATAGACAAGGTCTTTCCCTCAGGGTGATAGAGTCCAAAACTAGAGGGCGTAGGTTTAAAGTGAGAGGGGAAAGATTTAAAAGGGACCTAAGGGACAACTTTTTCACACAGATGGGGTGCTTGTACAGAATTAGCTGCAAGAGGAAGTGGTGGAAGCTGGTACAATTACAACATTTAAAAGGCTGGATACATGAATAGGAAGGTTTTAGAGAGTTATGAGCCAAATGCTGGCAAATGGGACTAGATTAATTTAGGATATCTGGTTGGCATGGGCGAGTTGGACCAAAGGGTCTGTTTCTGTCCTGTACCTCTCTATGACTGTATGACTTTTCAACACTAGAAGTCAAGCTACATGCATATCTTAGAATACAAAGGGAAAAATAGTTAGCCTCACAACAATTATTTTAGAATCTGCGAGTTTGGCTCCACATGTGGTACTAGTCTGAACACAACGTGCAGTGTTGTAAACTACATTTTTAAAACTATTGCTAAAGAAAAAAAGACTGACGATTAGGAGAAGACAATCAACTATCTTACCAAACATTTGATTATTATAAATTTTTACAATGTAAACTGACCCAAAGCACTGAAGAGTAACTGTTGGTAGAAGAAAATGAACACAAACATCACATCATAGTTTTGGTTTTCAGATGGCTGCAAAAATGTTTTGTGTATCACATTTTGAAAATAGTTGATAACAGGAAAACTTGCTGTACAATCCACATATAATGCAGAAGGCGCACTTAACAAGATATTTTAGCTTTAATATAAACAGACTATTTCCTGTGGAAGAGAGAGAATCTCTTTTGGTCAGATGCTGGATCAGCAAATGTTCCTGTGCTAAAACGGGGTTAACAATAATACTCATTTCTTTTGTCTTCCTGTTTTGCTTCATCAGTTTCAAGGACACATCTGTTCATGACTATTTGGTGGGCAGTGCCTAGGGCACAGGAGGACCTGAGTACATGACGCGTGAGAGGCTGCCAGTAATCGATGATGGAGTGAAAGGTGTTGCTGGGAAACAAATCTGGAAGGAAAAGGAAAACCCAACAATTACTCGGCTGAAATAATTTTTTTTGTGAGAGATAGAATAGAATCGCTGGGAGAAATGAGGGTGGCGCAGGAGAGATAGAAAGACTGGGATGGGGATAGATTCAGGGGCATGGCTTGGAAGGGAGTGGATAGCAAGAGAGTGGTGGATGAAGTAATGGAATTGGTAAATGTTGCACGATACAGCATCAACTCTTTGAACTAATTTATTCCTGTACTCCAAAGCTGTTCCTTGTGCTAAAGTTGAAGATTCACCACGTTTAAATGAGGAGCAGAAAAGCAGTCAGCTGAACGAAATGATAATGTCAGCGTTTGTTCTCTAAATGAAGATGATAGTCTAAGGTGTTCAGAATTTTTACAAAGCTTAACTCTAAACAGCATACCGCTACACACACCAGACTCAAGAAAGGAACAGTTACAAGGTTTGCATGAAACCTGAAACCTGAACAAAGGCAAGGGGTAGGATTTTAATATTGACAACAGGTATCAGGAAATGGGATGAATCTGCTATTGTGATCCCTCTCTATCTCAGGATTCCTGGTAGGTGGGATATTCTATAAGCCCAGGCTAAAATAACTGGAGGACAAGTGCCTGATCCAGAATAAGAAGTTTAAAAGCTATTCATGAGTCCCATAAAGCCTCAACACAGTGTTTCCAGAGCAGCCAACTACTCACTGATATATAGTTGAACTTTCTGACCTCTCTTTAAATTCCTCACTCCAGCTTCCTCCCTCATTCCCTCACCTTCACCCCATTCACCATTGTCCATGTTATGTAAAACACTCACAAGCCCCATTACAGCAGTTGAAAGCCATTGAATAGCCCATAAAACTCCATAAACAAACAAACAAACTCCAAAACTACTATTTCAACAGATGATTATACTGAATATGTAAAAACAATGGGAAAAATGAAATATTTATACTGGGTTATCATTTTAGGCTGCCCTTTGAAAAGTGTGAAATATAGTCTGTGTTTTTATCTATTAGATGAACAACTTCTTTAACTCAACTGAAGACTATTCCGCTTTATGATGTTGATCATTTATTTGGCAACAGTGCCAGGAGTGGGAAGGCAGTGGCTCAGTGTTAATGTCACTGGACGAGGAAGCCAGAGCCCAATGCTAATCCACTGGGGATATGGGTTCAAATTGCACTATGGCAGATAATGAAATTTGCATGTAATTTTTTACAAAATGGAATTGAAAAATAGCCTAATGGCTACCCTGTAGCCACTGTTCTTTAGGGAAGGCTATCTGTTGTCCTTACCTGGTCTGGCTTATGCATGTGCTTGACTCTCGACTGCCCTAGCTATGTACAATAAATGCTGATCGAGCCATTGATGCCAACATCCCATGAACAAATAAAAAAAGTAATGACATAAAAAAGCAAAGTAAGGATCAATAGCTTAGCAAAAATACCATTAAGCATTCACCTCTGCCTATAATACAGTTAGTTTTAGTACATTACAATGGTGACTTGTTACAAAAGGTCGTATTGCTTATAATACATTTGTTTGATCGAAAATAGTGAAAGCCATTATGTAAATACAGTTAATTAATTAATTACTTTGTTTCCCACTTTGTTGAAAAGCAGATTCTCTAAACTGCTTGGCTTTTTAGAATTAGTGAATGCTGTGCATGAATCTGTCTGTAGGTTAAATCAAGTTCTCTTCTTGTTTTAAGTACAGTATTACTCCAGGAATTTCCTTTTGGTTTGACCTGCTGAGCCACTGTGATTTCTACCAAATATACAGTGACTGTGCAAGAGACTGTGCATGCCCTTCCTATCTTGGGAAACCTCTTGATTCTAATCTACTCTCAATAATTAAATCAGCTCGTTTACTTTAAAAAGAAAATCCTGCTATTGAATAATTCAAATTAAACAACATTAGCAACACAGCAAAGGGTTCAGAAAATCAGATAACTCCAAATCAAGTGAGTCTGGATTAAGGAAAGTCAGCTGCTCTTAGACATACAAGAGTGATAAAATTTTTAACCATATGGTGAAAAAAGGCCAACTGCAGAATGAATAAATCTGAATGCTGTGGGCCATCATTATCTGGATTTCCTGAGGAAATATTTTGGAGCTTTAATTTTCTAACATAGTATGAAATAAGATGTTGATATGCAGTGCCATTTCCTTCGACTTAATGTTGCACCTTTTGTTTTGCAGGAAATTGTACGCCACTTTCTGAAGCAAGGGCAGAAGGTAGGCTGTTTAACATTTTTAAAGGAAAGGCAACTAGATAATGAGACCTCCATTTTCAAATGCCGTTTATGTTTTATTCTTTTCTTCTTTTGCCAGGCGTAGATCAGCTGTACAGACAATAAATTATGGTGCAAAGGCATCTCCTTATCTGGAAACCTTGGACGTGACTCCTGCCACAATTTGTTGTGCACTGAAACCTCTTGTGAATGCAGCTCGATTCTGCATTGCTGCTGCACAAGGCAAGGCATGGGGAATGACAGCCAGAACCCCACGTGTCTTACCAACGACTCATTCAAGTATACCCTGTATGGCTCCGTGTACAGCGTTGTATTTATCCTCGGGTTGTTGACAAACTGCACCTCACTGTATTTCTTCAGCTGCAAAATGAAGATGCGGAATGAGACCACAATATTTATGACCAATCTTGCAGTCTCGGACCTCCTTTTTGTCTTTACGCTGCCCTTTAAGATTTTTTACAACATCAATCGCCACTGGCCGTTTGGTGACGGGCTGTGCAAGGTCTCTGGGACAGCGTTCCTCACGAACATATACGGGAGCATGCTGTTTCTCACTTGCATCAGTGCTGACCGATTCCTGGCCATAGTTTACCCCTTCAGGTCTCGGGCCATCAGGACAAGGAGAAACACCAGCATCATTTGTGCAGGAGTGTGGCTCCTAGTGCTCAGTGGGGGAATCTCTGCATCTCTATTCTCCACCACTAACATCAGGGGGAATAACTCCAGTACCACCTGCTTCGAAGGTTTCTCCAAAGACACCTGGAAAACCTATCTGTCTAAGATCACCATATTCATTGAAATAGTTGGATTTCTCATTCCTTTGCTGTTGAATCTGACCTGCTCCTCGTTGGTTCTGAGGACTCTGAGGAAACCAGAAACGTTGTCTCCAATTGGAGCCAACAAAGAAAGGGTACTGAAGATGATTATTGTGCACTTGTCCATTTTCATTATATGCTTTGTGCCCTACAACTCCATCCTGTTTATCTATGCTCTTGTGCGTTCCCAAGCAATTGCAAACTGCTCCTTGGAGAGGTTTGCCAAAACCATGTATCCAATCACTTTGTGCCTGGCTACCACAAACTGCTGCCTCGACCCCTTTGTTTATTACTTTACGTCGGAATATTTTCAGAAGTATTTCAACATAAGACCCTGCACGAAGCTTGATTCCATTTTTAAAAGTGAAACACCACTAACAGTGAAGGGGGAGGCAATGGCCGATTCTGTAAATCGGAATGGAGCCAATATTCATTTAGAATCTCAGTTTTAAGCTTGGTACCTGGATGATTGAAGATTACCTTCAGGACTCTAATACGGCACCTTGTCTGTGACAAATGTTCTATGTGGTAACGCTGCAGGATTTCAGAAGGAAAGGGTGGAATTTTCCCTTCCCTGTTGCAGCAACAGTGATGGCAAGTAAAGTGACAAAATAGGGCAGGAGTGAAAAAGTCGGATTCTTGGAAAAGAGAAAAATGTTCTTGATTTCCCTCTCGAATTGCAACTTCAGAATCTCATCCTTGAGTGGTGATTGCTGTATTTCCGCACCTTTGTACCTCATTAAAAGAACCAACTTGCCCTAGTTACATCCCACTTCCAATTCTCCTGTCCTCCACTGAGAAACAAGACAGTGCAAATTCCTGACAGGTTAAACAGAATGGACACCTATCAGCTGCAGCTCACCATATGCATGTCCTGGCCATCAGTTAAATGTATCTTCACAATAACGTCCCTACATGATCCACAGCCACTATCCTCCTTGATCCTTCCTTCATCCACACAAATCCATGTCAACAAACCACCAGCCACACTACATCTTGCCTGCACTCAGACCAACTCAGTTTCTCACCACATCACACCTTCAATACCACTTTGTGCTGATGGATGTTGTGAGATATTGCATTTTGGTAAAACAAACTAGGGCAGGACTTATACAGCCCTGGGTAGTGTTGTAGAACAGAGAGACCTATGGATTCAAGTACATAATTCTTAGAAATTTGCATCATAGGTAGACAGGATCATTAAGAAGGTGTTTAGTATGCTTGCCTTCATTGCTCAGACCTTTGAGTATAGGAGTTGGAACATCGTGTTGAGGTTGTACAGGATGTTGGGGAGGCTTCTTCTAGAGAACTGGGTGCAGTTCTGGTTGCTCTGCAATAGGAAGGATATTATTAAATTGGAGCGGGTTCAGTAAAGATTTACCAGGATGTTACCGGGAATGGAGGGATTGAGTTATAAAAATAGGCTGGATAGGTTGAGACGCTTTTCAATGAAGTTTAGGAGGTTGAGTAGTGACCTTATGGAGGTTTATAAAATCATGAGGGGTATAGATAAGGTGAATAGTAAGGGTCTTTTCTCTAGGGTGGGGTAGTTCAAAAGTAAGGAGCATATTTTTAAGGTGAAATGAGAAAGTTTTAAAAAGGACATGAGAGGCAACTTTTTTTTGCTCAGAGAATGGTTCATGTGGATAAGTACATGAATGGCAAAGGTTAGGAGGGATATGGGCCAAATGCAGGCACGTGGGACTGGTTTAGTTTTGGGAACATGGTCAGCGTGGACTGTTTGGACAGAACGGTCTATTTCCATGCTGTATGATTCTATGACTCTATTTTGCCAGGTCACATGGGTGGCACGGTGGCTCAGTGGTTAGCACTGCTGTCTCTCAGCGCCAGGGACCTGGGTTCGATTTCAGCCCCGGGTGACTGTCTGTGTGGAGTTTGCACGTTCTCCCCGTGTCTGCGTGGGTTTCCTCCGGATGCTTCGGTTTCCTCCCACAGTCCAAAGATGTGCAGGTTAGGTGGATTGGACATACTAAATTGCCCATAGTGTTCAGGGATGTTTAGGTTAGGGGGATGGGTCTGGGTGGGATGTTCTAAGGGTCGTTGTGGACTTGTTGGGCCAAAGGGCCTGTTTCCACACTGTAGGGATTCAATGATTCTATGGTTGTGAGCAGCGACAGCCACACATACACAGAGATGCTGTCATGTTAAAAATAATCACATCTTAAAGCTTTTAACTCACTTTCTGAACACTCTCACTTTTTATCACTGAGTTTTACTTACAGGGATTTGGCCATGATCAATCCAATTGGGCAGTGATCCATGGTCAAGTGCAAGCAGTCCAGGGAATACACATAGGTCAGTTGCGATGCTCAGTTCTTGCTGCAATGAGAGAATAGGAAGGATGATTGGTATGCAAGTGGTCAGCAGGAAAAAGCAATCCCCTCTTCTCTACCAGGCCTGTCCCCCAGCACCTCCTGTCCTGAAGTGGGGATATAGCATGTCTTGATGACGTTTGCAGTGTTGAGTACTGCAGTGTGAGGGGACATTCAAGGATCTGACATGGTGCTCGGCAGGGCCTTCAAACATGGCGCCAGAAGTAATGTATGCCAGAAGTTCACTGTAGTGGCCAGCACTTCCTCCTCTCTGGCCATTCCCCATGAAATGCACCCAAAAACCAGGTCGCATTAGTTAGACAGTGAAAAGCAAAAGATTGCGGATGCTACTTCACTGCCAGCCATTAAACTCACTTGCTGCCTACAAATAGGAAAATTCAGCCCACAGTGATGACATATGTTGGTGTACTTTGTATAGAATACAGTAACTTTTTAGACCCAAACAGCCACTGATGGTAATGACCGTCCTGTAGCAGATTCTCACACTCCAATACCCCAAACCAACACGTGTTTGGTTCACTCACAAAGCTTACCTGATGAAGAAATGTTCCTTGTTATAATTCTCAAACTCAGTTATAACTGATAATATACAACCTCTCACCATTCACCTCATTTCTGTTGCATATTCCAAATGAACCAGGCATCTGATCTGTTATTTAGTTTAAAAAAAAAGCATGGTAACTTGAATACTGTACCATTTCTGGCTTTTTTCAGGTCTTGCTTTTAATTCAAATAACTTAGCTAGCCTTTCAATGAATTCCTGGTTCACAGCCAGCAGGGAAGATTCAGAATCTCAACCTGCATTGGCAAGTCCTCGATGTGAACCACATTAAGAATAACTCCTCCACATTCAAACTTACGCTAAACATTCGTACCTGTCACATTTCAGACAGATTATTTTGTCTGGCAGATATTAGGAATGTAACGCAACAAGAGGAGCTCAAACCTTGAGGGCAAATCAATACAAGAGGTCAAAAAGGAGTCTCCGATCCTTTAGACCTCTGCAATTTTGAAGAGATTTACAAGTCTAGGACATAAATGCGTTATACATGGAACCTGAAGCTTGAGAGAGCCAGTACTCTGTGTCCTTAACAAGTCATTCCGTTCAAAGGTAGTGCTGCTGTACTGTTTAACGTTGCTTGTTTGTTTGTGTGTCACTGAACCTAACCTAATGAAAATAAATTTGCATTTATGTGATTACAACTTGTCTGAGCTAAGTGGATTTGCAAATTATTCGTCGAGTTTAATTATACTTACATCCCAGAAAGTTCTAGTTTTTAAGAACTAGAAATTTAATTGCTTGCATTGCGTTGTGCTAAAATCAGTTGCTTCCAATTGTGTCACTTCACATATACACATGCCAGCTTCACCTTTACTGTCTGAACAGCTCCTGAATTTCCCATTTTCATCCACTTCTTAATGGGGTCTTTTTAGTACTTAGTTTGCAGAATGGATTTTACTGACAAAAAAGCAAGTCTTGCTCTTAAAAGAAGTTGATGGACAAAATATGTCTGTAGATCATTGGATGACATCCAGGTCAGGAATACACAGCATCGACTGTAATCAGAGTATAATGGCAAGCTGGGATTGAGGATGAAGGCCAACACACACTGTTAACCTTGTGGGCTGATGGGGCAGTGAAGAGGTGGGCATAGTTCCTGAAACAGATTCTCTGAATTCAAGTGGAGCATTAGACAGATGGCTGAATTAGTGTATTGTTTCACCGTATAATACATTTGTTAGCTGTTGCTGCATTCAACACAGGATTATTATCAATGTATATTTTTATTGTCCCAACTGTAGGAAGTCAAAAGCTCACAAGGGAAACTCAGCACTCAGAGGGGAAGTGGGATGTCACCAGACACAGTTAATCTAGCTCTCTGAAATCAGTATCAGTAAGACAAGAATTGACAGATGGGAGATTGTTTCAGTGTCTAGTTGAGCAAGGGCAGCTGTCATCTGGAAGAATGGTTTGTGCTTATTTAACACAGTTAGTGATTGATATAATCGAGACACTAATGTGATGCTGCACTGCAGCTGGTCCAGACTATCATGGCAATTCCCTTCAGCCTCAACGCCGAACAGAAAATCAGATTGTTCTGGTAAAAGCCAGCAACTTCCTCTGCAAGGGGTATACCTGTGTCACGCCTCAGGTCACAGGCCTGGCCTCGATCCACAGGGCCCGGATCCTTACCAGGAGTATCATGCAATGCAGCTGCTTTTGTCAGTAAAATGAATTTAGGACACAGGAATAGGATTAAGTCCTTTAGCCCCTCAAAACTGTTCCATCATTCTGTTAGATCGTAGCTGATCTGTATCACAGCTGCATCTCGACACCTTCCTTCTATAACCCTTGATACTCTTGATATCAGAATTCTTTAGCAGATCCCTAACCTCAGCAGTTTTGTTTTTGCATGGTGGCAAAGAGTCAAAACTCTGCAATGTTTGCCGGGGAAGACTCTATATTCCAGAAGGTCAAAGACAAAATACTGAGAGAGAGAGACATAAATACACAGACATTCACACAAAGCCCAAATTGCTTGATTTGATTTTGGAAGCAATTCTGTATCCTACTGATCTAAGTTACAAATGAATCACCATCTGATTGAAGGCCGGATCAGTTCAATGATCAATCTACATGGATTGCTCCTCTTTCTAATGTTGCTGCAATAAAAAACAGGGCGTGGGATATGGGGAACTGTAAGAGTCCGATTGTGAACTTTTCACACTCTTCGTGGAGAGGTTGCTGATAGGTTAATACGATGGATGAGTTGCAATTGCTGTTTGAAATGTCACCAAAACAGATATCAGCTGGGACAAGTGAGCCCTGCACAGTTAGGAAATGAGGTTGGACGTAGCTGAGGTAAGTGATGCTGATAGGAATTGAGCTGTTACATCTCTGGACAGTTGTCAATTGTGCTATCAGAAAGCATATTGTCAAACAAAGCGTGGCCGGAAATTTGTTGTGAGTGCCCTAAATTGAAACAAAGCAGTGGGAGGATAGAAATCTGTCTTTAGCAGTGACTGCATCGAAATTACAACAGCTGCGAATCCCCTGAACAAACTGGGGACAGGAGCCGGAGAGACACTTCACTGATTATTCACGGTGTACCCATCCCATTTAGCCTGTTTGAAACAAAAGTTCATTTACTGTCTCCCAAGCAGCCACAGGTAGTTCTCCTATTACGCGATAGTTGCGTTCTTGTGTGACCTTGCGCTACAGAAAATCGAGTTATGGAAAATCACCATAGAAACCTGCATTATCTGTTTGGATAATGCAAACTTTCTACTGTATGGTATAGCGATTTCCCTATAATGCGACTTTCTATAGTGATTTTCTATAACGCAAGGCTGAACAAGAACGCAACTATCGTAGGAGAGCTACCTGTATTTTGCTTGGTCTGGCAATTTGACCTATTTCTCCATTCAGGAAAATATTAATACCTTGAAAGTCACCAAATCTAAAGTTGAGCTTCATTAATAGTGATGACGTGAGGCCAAGTGTGATTGAAACCTGCAGATAGGCAGTTTGAACATAGAACAGCAGAGCGCAGAAACGGTCCCTTCGGCCCACGATGTTGTGCCAAACATGACACCAAATTAAACTAATCCCTTTTGCCTGCCCTTGGTCCATATCCCTCCATTTTTGGCATATTCATGTGCTTATCTAAAAGTCCCTTTAAATGCCCCTATCATATCTGCCTCTACCATCACCCTGGCAGTGTGTTCCAAACTCCTATCACACTTTGTGTAACAATTCTTGCCCCTCACGTCTCCTTTGAATTTTCCTCCTCCCGTCTTAAATGCATG